TGACTTACGTTGATGCAGGTGAATCTAATACTGAATGATCCCAGGACTGGCCTCCGTCGACTGACTTCAAGACGGCGTTCCCCGAACTCTACGAAGACTTCAGCAGAGCTGTACCGGTACCTAGTTATTCTAGACGTGATGGAGCACTAAACATCGCTTCGCACTTCCCAATTAACACGGTAGCTCCAGACCTTGGTATGTGAACTGTGAAGTAGGGATCATCGGGATTGACGTGCCATCAGGACCCAAGATGTACAACGCGATGGCGTCGTCCGAGTCTCCTGGGAGCAAAGGCTCGACACGCTTGCACATGGATATGGCAGATGCTTTGAACATCATGACGTATACTGCACCAACTCCAGACGGAAAACCAGGCTGTGCGGCATGGGACTTGTTCCGTGCTAGTGACTCCCCTAAACTGCGCCAATTCTTGCGGCGGAAGTTCAAGGCCACTAACTATCAGCATGATCCAATACACTCACAGCAATTTTATTTGGATAGTCAATTGAGGAAGGAGCTGTTTGATACATTCGGAGTAAAAAGTCATAGAGTTTATCAAAAACCAGGGGAGGCCGTGTTTATACCCGCCGGGTGCGCCCATCAGGTGAGTACATGCTATATCGCGAATTGTCAGACGTTCACCTAGGGCCACTCCCAAGGTCTGTAATCTGGCTGACTGCGTGAAAGTTGCAATCGACTTCGTCAGCCCGGAGAACATTGCTCGATGCGAACAACTTACTAAAGAATTCCGAGAACAGAACCAGTCGATGGCGTGGAAAGAGGATGTCCTACAGCTGCGCACCATGATGTGGTATGCATGGCTATCTTGTTGCCGACAGGAGAAGGAGATGAATGAAATTTAACGCGAGTTCATTCATCGTTCGTCTTTCTTCGAGGAAGGATGGATCACCTTTTTGGATTGTATGATAAGTATAACAATTTGCTTGCTTGCAAGGTTGGAGGGAGCGCTGGTTAAGCCACGCAGGGAGAACAGGATTTGCAAACTAATGCCGCATCTGCTTTCTTGTGTACATGCACGCACTACCTTACTTGTAGCCTTTGAATGCAGCGATATGATTTCGTTCTGTAGAAAGATATACAATATACTGTGGATCTGACGGGAGAAATACATCGTAATATTCCTGGACGTTGTTAGGCCCAGGTCTGTAAACTCTTTGTCGGGGTTGATCATGCCGGGCCGACCTCCGGTCACGTGTCGGGGGTGGGTTAACTCAATTCGCAATAGGGATTTTGTTGATGTACATTGTGTCTAGCAGACTACATGGAGGCACATGGGAGATTGCGCACATCTCATAGACAGTGGCATACACTGCTTGTATATTGACATTACTGGAGTCAGTGATGGTTCTGTGATCTCTTATGAGTTCCTGCAGCAAGAATATGCATTTGAGTGTGTTACTGTGTATGATTTTTTGTGCTGGGTCAGCAGACCTTGAAGGCTCCATTCTGGTATGTTGTGCAGACTCCATTTGCAAGCTTGTTGAACAGTATCTGTATTTGATGTTGAAGTAACTTAGAGCTATTGCTGGTCATCACAATTTGGTTCTGCATAGTAACTTGCTTTGAGTGATGTGTGTTGATGTGCTACACAATCATCATTGTATGGTTTCCTGTCTTTTGCTGGTGTACATGTTCCACTGGAAAGGGCATGTTTGTGGCTCTTTGTCATTACATGCCCCACCCATCCTCCACATTATAAATGACTGCTTGTATGCCACCCTCTCCTGCCCCATAATCCATTAACTGATGCCTTCAAACAGATACATCAGCAAATTAACAAAATCCTATTCACACTATTTCATGCTATTTCGGACTTCTTTTGTGACTTTTGTGACTTTTGAGTCTCACTGGACATTTCAAACAATGTAATAACTTGAAGTGTTAAAAAAAGTCAGAAATGTACAGGAAGTATAGCAAAATCACAGAAGTATAAAAAAGTATGGTATTGCCTTCACCATCAAATGGTGGCAGACCAGCTGGTGGTGCATATGCCACAGTGTTGTACAGCACATCATAAGTAGGGATCTTGTCCATTCTCACACACATCTTCAAAAGAAAAGGCATGTGAACCAACTCACATGTAAGCACATCAACTTGCAACTTACTGAGTCCAAAGATGCTTCTGGCCAGTCTTTCCTCCCTTTGAGTGGTTTTGGGGTGGTTCTTCTCAAGGAAAATGAGGGCTGTGGGGGGGTGCTTGAGCAATGTGGAGTCCATGGTGAGAAGGGCATTGGGAATGGAGATGATGGCAGCAACAGTCCTATGTTCATAGGGTGTACAGTGGTTACTGCACAACTGAGGGTTCAAATGAGTGGAAACAATGGCAGCAGTAGTTCTACATTTGTAGGGTGTACAATTGTTAGTCAAAACCAGTTGCCCACAAGATGTCACAGGTACCATACACTGAGCTGGAGTAACCAGATGATCAAAGAAATGCAGAATGATATGATAAATTGTGTCACCATAGGGGCAGCAAAAACTGTGAACAGTGGGGGGGATAGCTGTACTTCCACTTCGAATGGCTGCGATTCTAAGTCTCTGGCATGTGTAAGGTGAACGCCATCAGTTGCCTTGCAGATGGATGGGCCTCTGGCAGCAGTGTGGGTCATGCTGGTTCTGTCGCTGCCATTCCTGACTCTACACCCTCCATCACTGAGTTCTTCATGGCCTGTTGTTTATTAATTTTCATTGCACACATTAACAGATGATATCACATACCAATCAACCCTGCTGAACTTCCAACTCCAGAGGTCAGTCTCATCGCCCTATGTGACTGCTTGATCCTGGCATATTTCTGTGTTCTCCTCATGTGTTTCATGGCTGTTTGGTAAGAGTTTCATTAGTTATACACATAAAGAATACCCTGACACTCACAAATAGTTGTAGATTAGGGTTTAGGTGGAATTCTGTGCAAAGGTGAGCAAGGGGAGGTCTGGGAGCAGGAAATGAACACCATATGAGGAAATAGGAGTTAGTGAGTTGAACAACTTCACACACCATAACTTGCAGCTAGGATGCAATTTTGAATGCATGATGGTCAGCAAATCTATTCACATAATAATAAAAAAACTTGTCATATGATTCATTAGGCTTGACACTTGCTGGGTCAATTTGGTGGCTCACATATATAGGGATGAGTTGAGCTGCACAATAGATGGTATCAATGTGGATGATAGTGATGTCTTGAGCATTGCATGTACGAACTATCCACATCCCTGTGTTGGTGTCTGGGCCATCTCCTACATGGTCAAACCAACATATGATCATGCAAGGATACTCCATGCCTAGGTACTTGAAAGAAAAAAAAACAACACAGAATACGAGTGATGTCCAATCATGCCCTCCACATGAGGATCAGTTGTAATGAAGACACAGTCATAACAGGGGCCTTCATTCCTCCACATAGGGGAACAACATATATGTTTGCAGTGCATGCCATGGAGGCCACTCACATCACTGGGTGCATGGAACATCAAGGATGCAGAGTTGTAGACACAGACAGATTCATCATAAAAGGGATATTCATCCAAGGGGACATCTTCTGGATTGTGATTGTCATGCTGAAGCTGTGATTGAAGAAAGCAGTGCAAGATATTGAGGAGCTGGGGTATGTTGAGTTCAGTTGCTAGGTCCCTCATATTCCTTGCATGCATATGTTCTATGATCAACAGATTAGAATTCATACACATGAAGCTATGAGCAAAGGCATACAGTAGGTCTGGGCCAACAATACATGGGCCTTGACTGACATAGGAGAGTCATCTGTATCACCTGCATCTTCTTCAAAACTTGCTGTGGGTTCATCAGCACTGTCTTCGCAGTCCTGATTGTTTGACACATCATGGTCAGTCTCATTATGAGTCTCATTACAATATTGTTCTAGAATACAGTCAGCATCAAGAACAATGTCTAAGAAAAATGCTCACACCTAGAGTTCCAAGCACATATGACAGGCAAGTCCCTCTCAACATGCCATGTTTTTCAAAGTCTGCATGCACTGCAGCAAATTTGTCAAGCCTCTGGTTGATTGCAAGCATCTGTCTGAGAGCCTGAAAGTGGTTAGCATGCTGATAAGGTTGCTTGACTGCTTTGATATGTTTGGACTTGGTAATCAAAGAACAGAGCCCATTCAGTGTGCTGAACTGGCATATAAGATAGGGATAATGCTTCATAGCATGTTGCCAGGGTAATGAAAACATAGTGATTACTTGGGCATTCCAGAAGACTTCATGATACAAGTGGAAGCATGCAAGTGCATCCTTGATTGCAGTAAGCATTGGTTCAGTGATAACATTTTGACAGATGAGGTAGCAAAACTTGAGAAAGGCACAAAATGTGTGGATGACATCCTCTAGGACATAGCCTTTGATGGCTGCAATATATACCTGTAGAGGACCAGTCAATCATCATACACCATTTAAAAAGGATTGGAGAACCTTCATGAGGCCTTTGGAGTCATCACCAGTCCATTGTTTAACATGTTGGCCTTGAGGGAAATGTTGCAGCCCAGTAAACAGGGTGACAGCTGCAATCCTGGAAATCAATGAGGTCAGTCAGTGTGTGATAACAGAGGTCAGCCAACACACCTTTGATCAATATCATCCAGTATTTTTTCTGCAGTGCCCTTTCCATGAATATGGATGAGATACCTTTCCACCCAGTCAACCAGGTGATCTTTGAATCCACCCTTGATGAGTTGATGAAGAATGTCCAGAGAAAGCATTCTCTGGATGTCCATGCATGGAAGCCCACTTGTAAATGGCTGTTCTTGATCAGTCATGAAAAAAGAAGTGAGTATATTGTACATACCACTATATCTATATCTCCATCAATTCCATACCCTTCCCAAAGTGTCTGAGGGTCCAACTCCCTGATGATCAATTCAGTGTGCTTGTGGTGATGCCAGAGTGCATCTTTGTCAAGGTTCTCCTGGTGTGTGAGACATTTTGGACACCAATTATGCATGATGCACGACAAGAGGACCTGCTCTTTGTAGTCAGCTATGTAAGCTGCAAGTGCATAGATGACACATTGGTAGTACTGATCGTTGAATAGTACTGTTTCTGGAACTGTCATTGCAGGACCAAGTGATCGAAGAACATGTGCCAGTGATGAATGAAAGAGCTGCTTCTTGAATTTATGGAACACTTGTGTATTAGCATGCTCCCTAGTCACTATTAGGCTATCAGCAGTGGTACAAAGTAATAGAATTTGAAGTGCTTACTCTTCAGCATTGCAAGGAATCCAATGAGCACTACCACATCGCAGTGTGCATGACAAGTGGTGTTGCATGCATTTCCAATGGAAAGATAGAGCAGGTAGTAATCTGTTTGCCCAGTTGCAATGGAAACAGTGGTCTTGTCACTGCCAAGGATGATGGGAACCAATGTTGCTCTGGCTGCTGATGGGTTATTGCCAATAATCTTGTCCTAGAAGTATGAGATTGGTAGGACCTACATTGAGACAAACCCAGTACATACCGCTTTGTCCCAGGCCCAGTCACCCAACATAAAATTCTCCCAACACCTCTGATCACTTGTGGCATTGAACTCCTGGTATGGCATGAAGTCCGTTTGATCTTTAAAGTCAGTGCAACCAAGGAGGTTGTGGATAACTTGATGGGGATCTTGATACTGTTGGAAATACTGGTTAATGGTGTTTCTCGTTACCAGTTCTAGACTTGCTTATTTGATGAGTTTTACTCATATCATGTCATGCTTGCTAAGTTACTCCACAATGATGTCACTTAGCTCCACTCATTCTATAATGTTCCATGACATTCATTACTATACATAGCAGGTAGTATCTTTACTTACCATATGCATCACCTGGTCTGTGCGCATTCTTACATGTATATAAACCAAGGGATTTCTACCATATCCCTCAGTGAATTCACTCTCAGTTATACTGTTCTATGAGCCTCAACAGCTCTACTCAAATAAACCATATACTTCTCAAGCTCTATCCAAAACTAAAGGCAAGTGCTCATCTTAAGCTCTCGCCCTTTTCTCCTTTGTCCTTGTTCCTCTGCCAATAGGTTATGAGCCCCAACATCTAACTGTCAGTGTGCTATTGTCTTATGTGTATTTACTGATCTTTGGTGACGGCCATATCAGCATGCCATTCAACAGCCTAGATGTGCTAGGATGGAGCTTAGTTACTTTCATTGTGTTGCTTCTTGTGGCTTTTTACCAAACCATTTTCTACCTTTCACTTGGAGGATATGGATCTTTTAGGGAGTTGTATGCAGCCTCAGTGGCTTTCTGGGTTGCTGCACTAGCCAGACCTATCTGACATGACCTCTACCTTTATTGGGTAAGAGTGTGCATTGCTGCTGCTGTTGGGGTGGATCTCCATCTCGTTTGTGATGGCCTCTGTCCTCCCATGGTTGAGGCTCCACCTCCCAATTATCTCTTCCATGCTATTCCTGATCACAATGATGAAGCCGACCTCGATCCTGTTCTGCCTTATACAGTTGAAGGAGGTGCCAATCCACCTCCACCTCACTGTGAACTGACTCCTCCTCCAGAGCTCATGTTGGCAATTGGTGACGCTCTCACTCAGGCTAACACCTTGATTGCTGAGGTTGATCTCACAGTCAGAAATGACTTTGCAGAGTTTGATTTGCTATAGCTGCATCCCTACTTCTTTATGAACAGAATCTCATGCACTTCATTTAGCTATGTCTCTCATCATTGCTAAGCAAACTGAAATCACTGCTGCCCACACTCATGATGGCATGTATCAGGGAAATAAGTGGAGAGAAGAGTACATTAAAAGAGTTGTTGAATATATGGAGGCGCTATATGTTAGAGATTGTTCCCACTGGCGCTATGCAGTTCCCAGTAGTCACTCCTTCTTTTTGCGCCCACAGCCCTTGCTTGCCCATGTCCCTCTTTCTCAGATCGAGGTGACTTGGGATGGCTTCCTGACTTATCCAGGCCTCAGCATGCCATTCGAACTTCCTGGAATCCATACCACATTCCATGGCTATCTCACTGACTTCACTCCAAAAATCTCCTTCCTATCTTCGTCCAACACTATCACTAACTTCAATGGTTGTGACTTACCTAGTCTAACCTATGAAGATCCTGCCCTCTGGACTGTACTGGCCTCCACAATTACTCATGACACCTTCATGTATATCTACTACAACTGCCATCCCCTCTACATCTTGGGAAATCCCTTCCACAAGCTTGTCCCTCCTCTCAGGGTTTGGCAAGAGTATTTGGAGAGCCATTACAGAGGACTTTGGTGAGAAGGTATCACTGATGTTGAATGTATCCCACTCTACTTCTGTGAATGATGACCTGGTGGTCACCTCTTTGACCTCCAACTACTGGAGTTCATTGATGCCTTTAAGGCATGTGGAGATTTGGATGAAACCTGAACTGGTTATGACAAAACTCAAGGTACTCTTTGGTACCTTGACTCTACCAGTTACAAGAGATTCATTTACTGGCCCAGAACAGATGCAATTCTGGCTGACCTTGAACATGTGATGGCCTGCAATACTGGTGCAGCTTACAGTCAACCTAGACGTCATGGATTACTTGCCACTGCTCTTGCAAGGTCTTGCATGGCTGCTGAAACTTGCCACAAGCTATCCTCTCCCTGGTACAATGGATGTACCATATGCATCTGCAGGCCAATTCCTAGAGTATCCTGATGGATCTCTTGCTCCTTGTCTAGATAGCTCTTACAATCTTTTTGAAATCTTAGCATCTAGAGAATATGGTAATCGGATTTATGGCTGGTTTCCTTTCCCTTATTCCTGTCAGCCTGAATGGTTAGGATTTTTGAACCCCCATGGTCTACATGAAATGGGCTGGTCATTTTTATCCTACCATTACTTCCCTGACCTTTGTTTCGACTTCCTCAAATACAATGTTCAGCAGAGTTCTCGCATCACCGATTGGCATTATGCTGAGAAAGGCTTGGAACCAGAACCAAAAATAAAATACCGATCACCAAGGATGCAGAATTGACCCAGACAAAAATCCCAAGCATGCAAATGCCAAAAGGCTTTGTGTACTCTCCTCCAAAGCACCTTTAATCCTGGACTCACTGATCCACAAAAAACTTTCCTATATGACCATCTAATCCTGGACATCTACTAGAATGTCTTCTGAAGGAGGTCTTGGAAAGAACATCCCAAAACTTAATGGGATGAATTACGCTGTATGGAGTGTTATGATGAAGGCATACCTTCAAACCTTAGGAGTGTGGGGAATAGTTGCTGGGACAGAAGGTTTACCTGCTGATGCAGATGAAGCTTGAGTCTGGAGAACCTCTGATACTCATCCTCTGGAACTTGTTCATGCTGATCTACTGGAACTTCCCATTGAATCATACTTTCAGTCCAAGTATGTTCTCACACTACTTGATGACTATTCTTCCTTCGGCTTCTGCATTTACTTGTGGAATAAATTGGATACCTACCAACACTTTGCTGATTGGCTACTTGCTATGCAATGCCAACTCAATCTTGAATTGGGCACTCTCTGTTTGGATTGAGGGGGAGAATTTATGGGAAATACTTTCAAAACGCTCCTCACTTCAAGAGGAATTGCACATCAGCTTTCCATAGCTGATCAACCACAACAAAATGGTTGTGCAGAACAATTCAATAGAACTATTCTGGAAAAATCCAGAGCTATTCATCATCATGCTTGTGTTCCAAAGAAATATTGGAACTTTGCCTTTGACTGTGCACTTCATGTGTACAACAGAACACCACTCAAAAGGATTCAATTCAAGACACCAGCTGAACTTTTCACTGGCAAAATTCCAGATATTTCTTATTTCCACACATTTGGTTGCAAAGCCTATGTTTGGGTACCAAAAGAACAACAAAAAGAAAAATTGGACCCACATGCAATCGAAATGATATTTTTAGGATACAAACCAAAAACAAAAGGCTACTGATTTCTCTATAGCCATAAGGTCATTTTATCTTGTACTGCCAAGTTTGTAGAAGACTCCTTTCCATTCTGTTCGGATAGCATATGAAGAAAATCCAATACCTCAAATGACCCAGATTCTGATGACAACCAATCATCTGGTTCTAGTGATTCTGGTGGAAACCTACCAGATTTTGGGATTGATCCTCCTGCTATTGGACCTCATCCTATCCAACCACAGAATCCACAACAACCTCCTCATAATCCAAACCCACAGCAGGGTGGTCAACAAAACAGACCAGTTAATCCTTCCAGACCACACAGAGCACCTGCTGTTCCTCCCAATCTTGTTCAACACCCACACCAACCATACCCTGTTCCTGGTGACAATAGAAATCTTCAAAGGGCACACCCAGAACAAGCTGAACAAAGGGAACCTCATCCTAAATGCAGAATAATTCCCACATCTCGACCTGGCAATATCTATGGGAACAGACCTCCCATACAAATCAAAAGGGATATTTGCAATAATAGAGACACAGCACAGGAATGGATTAGAAATGCAGAAGAACATTCTCACAATACTAGGGAACAACAAAGAGTAATTCAGGAAGAAAGGAGACCTCCTTCACCTCTTAGGCCACAGGCTCCTTCTGTTCCTCAGGAGTGGATTTCACACCCTCCTATGTCTCCCTTGACTCCTCTACCAGAGTCAACTACTCCACCTGAAGCTGGTCCTTCTCAAACCACATGCATCAAAGAAGAAGAAAATCAAAAAGGGTATTTCACAAATACCTTTGAATTCCTTCTTGCTGCGCATGTCAAGGAGTCTCTGGAACAACACAAAGACATGCTAAAACTTAATCCAGAACTTCAAAAGAAATGGTTTGATGCTATGAAGGACAAAATAAAATCAATCAAGGAAAGAAATGTTTGGACTCTTGTGGACCCAAAACCAGATCACAAACCAGTAAAATGCAGATGGGTTTTCACTATTAAAAGTGATGGTCGCTATAAAGCTCATCTTGTGGCAAAAGGTTTCACACAAGAATTTGAAACTGACTTTGAAGATACCTTCTCACTGGTTGCTCATTTTGAGACAGTGTGAATACTACTCTCATTCACTGCTCAATGAAATTGGGAAATGAGCACCTTGGACATCAAGACTGCCTTTCTTTATGGAAATCTGGATGAAGAAATTTATATGGAACAACCAGAAGGTTTCAAAGTTAAAGGTCAAGAGCACAAGGTCTATCAGTTGCTGTGTGCTCTTTATGGCTTAAAGCAAGCAGCATTAGCATGGAACAAAGCCTTAAATGCTTCCCTACTTTGCATGGGCTTTACAAGATCCAAAGTGGATGCAGGGATTTACATTTTCAAATCCAATGCAGGCATGGTCATTTTCCTTGTCTATGTTGATGATGGATTGTTTTTAGGATCTCATCCTAAACTTTTAAAAGCAAAGAAAGACGAGTTTATGAAGAAATGGGAATCAAGAGATCTAGGCAAATGTAAAGAATATCTAGGTCTTCAGATCCACAGAAACCATGCTAAACACGAGATCTACCTGGATCAGATCCCTTACATCAAAAAGGTGATCAAACAATTCCAAATGGAGAATGCACAAAATGTCTGCACTCCATTACCTTCTGGCTACCAACTGAAGAAACCTGAAGCTACTTATCAAGCTTCTTCTTCACTTTGCTCCCAGTATCAAAGTATTATTGGATCTTTACTCTATATGGCTCTGGGAACTCACCCAGATATTGCTTTCACAGTTATTCACATGTCACAATACATGGCCAATCCTACAGAAGATCACAAACAAAAAGCATTACATATTGTCAAATATGTTGCTTCTACTCTGAAGCTTGTGCTTTATTATTCTGGGACCGAATCTCGCATCTTCAGATTCACAGACTCTGATTGGGCAGCCAATGTGGATACTTGTCATTCTACTACTGGTTATGCCATGTTTCTTGGCACCTCCCTAATTTCTTGGCGATCATGCAAACAAAAGACTATTGCACTTTCATCAACTGAAGCTGAATATATGGCTTTATGCAATTCTGCCTGACAAATCAAATGGCTATATATGCTTCTTGATGAACTAGGCCTTAAATTGGAGAAAACTATTCTCTACTGTGACAATATGGGTGCTCACTTCATAGCTGAGAATCCTGTCTCAGATGGTCATTCAAAGCATATTGATGTCCAGTGGCACTTCATTCATGAATGTGTTCAGGATAATCTTTTTTCCATTGAATATATCCAGACCAACTGACAAAAGGCCAATGGATTAACCAAGTCTCTCACATGGCAGAAATTCAAAACGAATTGCTCATCACTCAGTCTTGTTACCTTACCATTCTAGAGTGAGGGGGAGTGTTGGAAATACCAGTTAATGGTGTTTCTCATTACCAGTTCTAGACTTGCTTATTTGATGAGTTTTACTCATATCATGTCATGCTTGCTAAGTTACTCCACAATGATGTCACTTAGCTCTACTCATTCTATAACGTTCCATGACATTCATTACTATACATAGCAGGTAGTATCTTTACTTACCATATGCATCACCTGGTCTGTGTGCATTCTTACATGTAAATAAACCAAGGGATTTCTACCATATCCCTCAGTGAATTCACTCTCAGTTATACTGTTCTACGAGCCTCAACAGCTCTACTCAAATAAACCATATACTTCTCAAGCTCTATCCAAAACTAAAGGCAAGTGCTTGTCTTAAGCTCTTGCCCTTTTCCCCTTTGTCCTCATTCCTCTGCCAATAGATACCATACATCATAGATGTCAAACATCCAAGGGGCCTCAGGTTCATCTTGGCCATCTTGGCCATCCTGACCATCCTGACTGCCCAGTTTGATCACTTCATCCTGTTCATCTGGTTCATCCTGTACATCCCACTTGCACTTGTAAGTGATCTTGAAGTTTTCCCACTTGACTGCACCAACAGACATGCTGTCTATCACATGATAGAGATCTGTGTGGTTGGCAAATAGTGGATTGCCACCTAACTCGAGCAATGAGGCAGCCCAGATTTCAAGCAACATGTTGATTTGGTTCGCTGGCATTTCTGCATGTTTGAAAAGAAACTTGGCAAGTTCAAATTCTAATTGATTGTGGTATGGAGCCCAATCATCCAGCAATCCCAGTATACAAAGCAGCAGCAGAGCATCATCTGGTAGAAAATGGCCCTGGGAGTCACACCTTTGTGCTGTAATAAATTGTATGAGTAGAGGTAGGATAATGTGTGTGTAGGCTTACCATTAAGACCTGCATGATAATTGCAGTAAACCTTGTTGCCAGGACCAATGAATTTTGTGATCATTCCATCCAGTTCCTGATCCAATGTTGTGCTGTGGTTGAAGTCATGTGGACCATCATCATAATCTAGAACATGTTTGGCTACTGGGGGTATGGAATTTAAACTGTGGTCCTGTTCAGAGTAACTCCAAGACCCTCGAAAGTGGTTGAGGCACAGATGGCTGTGCTTGTGCTGAGTGAGCCCTGACCAGTTTTTGAACCAATGGTTGCAGCCCGGCATGTCACAAGGAAGATGGAGAGTGCTGAATTTTGTCTGTTGAGAGCTTCAGGCGCTGCCTCTGCACAGCAACATCTTGATGGTAAACAAACACATTTAGGGACCCTTGCATGATCAGTAAACAGTCAGAAACCTAAGTTAGGTGGAACTTTGCATATTTGTTTGTGAGGAAAGAGACTCTGTAGTGCATTTGTTTGCAAGGAAAAATTCTTGTGTAAAAAACAACAGGTTCGAACTCACCTTGTGCTGTCTTCATCTCCACCCATGCATGACAAGTATTATGTCAGCTTCTTCTAATATTCATCTGTGACAAGAAAAGGCCAACCTGCATCCAGGGAGGATCATTCTCGAAGTGTGGACTCAACAGTGTACCCCAGCCCAGAAGAAGGCTGATGACTTGCACATGCAGGAAGCTATCAATGCTCAGGTGGCTGCTATCCAGCAGGCTCATGCCCAAGTCAGGGAGATGGAGACTGCCATGGAGGTCAGGCAGGTTATCCAAGGCACTGCCAAAGCAAAGCCAGTCAGACCAAGACAGGTGCCTTCCAGTAGAGATCCTGGCCAGGAAATCAGCCCTCCTGTTGTGACAGAGACCAGACAGGCAATCCAAGTTACTGCTAAAGTGAAGTCAGTCAGACCAAGATGGGGGCCTGTCAGCCTTCAAGGAAAACCTGGAAATGTAGTTGTCCAACCTTGTGGTGAAGGTGAGGACATTTCAGTTATGTTGTCCAATTGCAGACACTGATAACATATCAGTTGAAGTTGCTGATATGGAAGTCAACACTCACCAGGTAACTGCTCCTGCTATTGTGGACTATACAAGCAACAAGCCACAGAGTGGGAGAACAGCTAGCCACATGCTGAGAAGGCAAGGTGCAGTCGCTGACCTTGATCTACTGGCAAATGTGGTGTCAACATGTGGATCCAATGAAACCTCCCAGCAGACATATGTTCTTATTTTCAACTGTTTGATGCCAGATGCTGCTACTTACTGAGTCAACTTTGTTTTGGCTGACCCTCACCTGGAATGCTCTCAGTACCTGAGATGACCAAAACACCAACTTGGACCACCAGGTCTATCATTGGGTCAAGGACATCCCAACTGGGCTGATGCCACAATCCAACAGACTACCAACTTCCATCCCTTCTTTGACAAGCAGAGCTACTACTGCTGTCAACTCCAATACAAGCCTAGCATACCAGGTACATGCTACATTATCAAGTAGGATCAGTCATCTTCAACATCTTCAATCAGGGAAAGATGCCTGCACCAACCCACTGCATGGATGAAGAGGAATTAGAAGACCAACTGGCTTTCTCTGTCAAGGTCATAGGTCATGACAAATTCAAGGTATGTCTCTTGATGCAAATTGACCATTGCATTATATTGCTTTTAGGTGGTCATGAGCATGGCTAACAATATAGAGAGTGACAATGAATTCAATCAGCTCATTTTTGAGGAGGTGCAGACTGGCTTGAAGTGCAAGTATTCAGATTGTGATGATGCCAACTATGTTACCTCATCCGAGGTTGAGGACTTCGATGATGAATACTTTGACATTGAGGATCACAATTTGAACTCTTGTATGTTGCCTGCTAAGGAATTGCATGTCATGATGGTACATTTTTTTTATCTATTTGAACTGTACATTAACTCTTTTGGAATCACAGGCTGATAATGGAGTAGATGAACCAAAGAAATCAAAGGCTGACAGGGATGCAGACCAAGAATTGGGACAGAGGAGCACTACAGCAGGTCAAGTGCCTTCAACAAGGACCACAGGCAAGGCCAGCAAATGCTCTCATTACCAAAGCCAAGATCTGCCTTCTGTGCTGACAGCAGGCAAGATGTGGGCAAAAGAAATTATGCCTGCTCCCCTTGTGTGGGCTGGAAGCTTAGCTGACCCTTGGACAATCTCAGATGAAGAACTCATATGGTCACTGCAAATCATTATCCTGACCATTGCTCCAGACTTTGAGGACCTGAATGACATTCATCCTGGGACAGTGGTCTTTAATATTGTATTGTTAGTATTATTTACCTTGCTACTTGACTCATGCTTCCTTGGACAGGCATGTCAATGACTCTGCCAGTGGCACAGCAACTTTGGATCCACTGCAATCACTCTTATCACTCACTTCCTTGTCTTGGTGTAGGGAGCTGTATACTCCCTGAGGCTGGAACAGGAATCTGTCACTAAATTTCACAGGCCCCTATGACAAACCCATTTCAGAATTTTTCCTGCTCGTGTCCTCGTGTTTCCTCCTGACCCCTGTTGCCTTCAGAGTTTCTACCGACCTTCAGCTTGTCACTCAGTCATCAAAATGCTGATCTGGAAATTCCACATTTGCACAGAGTCACCCAGAATTCAACAGCCATGCCACCACTCAGCCATGTCACCAGTCATCTGTGCCACTTATCCGGTTTCCCCTGTCACCCTAAATTCCACAAGCTGGACTTCATGTCAGTACACTATGCTCTGCCCTCCTGTGCCACTCAGCTCCACCTCCCACTGGTATGCATACTCTCGTTCTGTTGGAAGATACCCCTTACCATTGTCCCATTCTTACTCTCATCTACTACCCACCAGACTATTTCACATGCATCTGTATTTCATTGACATTTGACATCCATTCCTTTATTTTCCAGTCTTTTAGTTTTTCCACCCCACCCTACTCCAACTTGTACCTACTTCCCTTGTACTATATAATTCTGCCAGGATGTCAGAAATAGACCACCCATCTTTTGGAGTCACTATCTGAGTCATTTGCATGTCTAGGTGTTCAAAGTGTCTGCTGTGTACTCTGCATCTACTGTGCCTTCTGCATTTCTGTGTCTCACCTCCATGTCTCACGAGTCCTGGAAATACTTCTTCATGAAAAGGTTGTCACTTGGAATTTCACAAACAAGTCTACTTGTACCCAATTTGCCTACATCTCTGCAGAATTATATTCCATGCCCCACATTCAACTCCTCAATCGACTCTACTATCATATTCTACATCTCCTTCCTACTCAGTGCCCCTTGGGTTGAGCCTAGGGATTACCCTGCAGCTTCCCCCCCCCTAATCACACACTACCCAGAGGTAGTGTCCCACATTGTTTTGGAGCCCACTGCAAGGGGTCTGTAGATCTGGAAAGGAGATCCTTACGCCCCACTCATCAAAGAACCAAACTCAAAGAGCTCCCAGAGCCCTTCTGCAGACTATCTATTTCTTCATCAGAAATCTTAATCCCAGTAGCTGATCCCAGAGATATTTCAGAGCCACACTTGTCAGACTCAGATCTTGGTTTAGATGAGATCTTTCAGAGCCCAGAGCCCCCAGCATTTTACCCATCATTTCCAGGAGGTTTCAACTTTGATGAACCCTTTGATCCTCCAGCAGAGCATCAAGAACTTTTGCCTCTCTCAGAACTAACCTCTTCTTCATCCTTGTTATCTAGTAATTCTGAACTCACTGCCAAACAACTTCTTATCCCTTCGCAATCGCTCACTTTAACTCCCACTATTGTTTCCCCTGCCCAAGTTCCCACTCAGAATACCTCAGTTGCCCTGCTCTTAAATTCCACATCCATTTGCATAATGTCTGGAGCTAGAGACATGCCACTCAGGGGCTCTAACAAAGCCCCAAAGTTTTCTGGTCATACTGAAGACATCACTCGCTACCTTGAAGATGTCAAACAACTCTGTGTCAGAGCTGGCCTTGACACTGGAAAAGATAAAATCCACTGGGCCATCCATTACACTGATCACAATGAGGTGGAATTTTGGTCCACCTTAGATGCTGCAACTGACAGCTTCAATGACTGGGACACATTTTCCAAAGAACTCCTGAACTACTACCCAGGTGCCTCAGTGAAAGATTGTCACTATACCAAAGCGGACCTCGAAACCTTACTCTACCATCAAGTTCAGAAACCTATGGGATCACTGGAAGATCTTGGTAAATACATCTGGGAATTTCAACACATCCTTGGCCTTGTCCAGAAGAAGAAGAAACTTCCTGATGACTACATCAATGAGAAATTCCTCAAGGGGTTTCCCCCAAGGTTCTGGAATTCCTTGCTCACACGATTGCAACTTTCTGACCTAGATCATGACATTGATGAGCCTTGGGAGTTCAATCTGGTCTACAAGCATGCTAACTACCTGCTCAGTGGAGCAAAACGAAATCTCCCTCAGCCTGATTCTTTGGCTTTGTTTCCCCAGAACTCCACACCCCCTTCTTCATCAACTGTTCCCACTATCTTAAAATGCAAGTATGTACAAATTGCCCAGCAACCTGCTTCTGCCCCACCTCCACAACAAGGTCAAGAAGGCCAATTCCATCATTCCTTCAATCCACAGTGTTTCTTCTGTGGAAGCACTGATGGCCACCACATGGCAGAGTGTGCACTGTGTTGTGAATATGTACAAGCCAGGAAATGCACCCTGATAGGGGGAAGAGTATTTATGCCTGATGGTTCTGACATTCCTAGGACAGCTGCTGGCCAAAACTTTAAAGAAAAGATCGACAACTTCCTCACCATGTGCAACTCTATCATCACCTCAGCAAACCTTGTCTCTGTACAATGTCCTACCCAGTCATCGAACTCATCTCAAGGACATGATACCCCACCTCATCTTGTCAGCATGATGTTCTTCACTAATGAAGAATCCATGGAGTTTCAGGTCAACTTACATCCCTCCTCCTACCTAATCAACGAAGAACTAGAGAGTAATGCTGATGAAGACCAGCACACCCTGGTGAGAGCTTATGCGCAAGTAGAAGAATTGAAAAATAATATCAAGAAGAAGAAGGTCACTTGTTTTGACAGTGTAGATATTCCAGCCTGCCATCCATGAAACCCTGTGACAAGTCCAGTGCCTGCTAATGCATCAACCACCCCCAGGACAGTCATTAATTCCACACCAACCAATTCCATCCCTTCTACAGAGATCCCAGCCATTACTAAAACTCTGGTCATCTCTAGTCCCACAGATCTCTGGAAATCCAAGCCTATGACAAATTCTGCACCCCAATTTTGTTATCAAAGTGGTTTCAACAAAGCAGTGGCTACCACATGACTTGTAGACCAAGTCTTAGATGTGAAGATAGAAATTTCCACTAAAGATCTCTTAGCCATCAGCCTGGAGATTTGCAAGCAGGTTAGAGAGCTAGCCATGATGAAGAAAATAACCATTGGGAGCTTAGAAACGGCATTGGAAGCTTCTGCCTCTGCTACCTGGGCATCCTATGAACAGTATTGGGTCAGAGACACAGAAGGGAAGTGTGTAGGCCTTGCTACTGTGCCATTACATGTTGTTGATGGCATCCTAATGGACAAACTTCATGTCGAATGTATCTGGACAGTGGATGTCAGGTAGTGGCCTTGCGACAGGAGTTGTGGGAAGCCTTAGGGGCCCCCCTCCATACTGACATGACTATGACTCTGGAGGCCACTAACCAATCCAAAGAAAGCACCCTTGGCGTCATAGAGAATGCCACCTTGTGCATAGGAAACATTGAGGCCCATCTACAAATCCAAGTCGTCGACTGCATGCCTTTCAACTTACTGCTTGGTCGACCCTTCTTCTGCCTACTCTCCAGTGTCCTCCGTGATTTCCCTGATGGAGAACAGTCTCTAGAAATCCACGACCCTAATTCCAGGAAACAAGTTTTAATCCTGACATGACCTTGCAACAGACTGCATCCCCTTCCACATTTCATAAATTCCAAAGACAAAGAAGACTTCTTCACATGAAAACAAATGTGTCACCATATGAAACAGCCTGAGCAGGGTTTTTAGTGTTGGTTGATGACTTGTCTGGATTGCGAGGAGGCCACAATAATCTTTTCTCTGTGTGTTCTCTCTATGTTTCTGACCCTCCTGTATTACCTTCAAAGACTACTACCCTTTTGCCTACAGACACTTCCAAAATTTCCACCATGGCATTTATCTACAATTTACAAAGCAACAGTATGCTCCCCATCGATCCCTTTGATGCTAGTTCCGTCTCTCCAACTGACCCTTTCTTGTTTTTGACTGCTACTACTGTTTCTCCACTGACAATCTCTGCCTTATGCTCTACTTATCAACTTGATCCTGTTTATCATGTCTTAAAGTACAAACCTGTAGCAAGGAAGGTGAGGCTGGTACTGACATCAATGCCAGCAGAATTCTGGGTAGAGCATTGGGAGGCTGAAGACCCACTTGCAGATCTGCCTGTTTACCTACTCATCCCCCACTGTTTGTGCCAGGTTCCAGGTTTACTCAGGAAAGAGCTGACAAGCTCAATCTGGACCTGGCAAGGTTCCTTTGGCCTACAGAATTAGACCTAGTACAATGGCTGGTCAAGACACACAAGGCCGCCTTCACTTGGGATGCTTTGGAAAGAGAGACCTTTCGAGAGGACATGTTCCCACCCTTGAAGATACCTATGCTAGCCCACAAACCCTGGGTCAAGTGAAATATTTCCATTCCCCCTGCTATTTTCTGTGAAGTCATTAACATCATCAAGGAAAAGATTTCTGCAGGAGTTTACAAACTGTCTACCTTGTCCTATTGCTCAAAATGGTTCTGTGTAGTCAAGAAGGATGGGAAATCTCTGCGCCTCATCCATGACTTACATCCTCTAAATGCCATTTCTATCCAGGACTCAGCCGTTCCCCCCTTTGTCAATTCAATCACTGAAGCCTTCACTTGCCATTCTGTCTACAGAATTTTGGATCTTATGGTCAGATACAATCATTGCACCATACATGACAATTACTGTGACCTCACTACCTTCCAAACTCCTATTGGTACTCTACAACTCACTAAGTTACCTATGGGCTACATGAATGCTGTCCAGATTTCCCATGGAGATGTCTGTTGGATATTGAAGGATGAGATCCCTGAAGTAACCATCCCTTTCATCAACAATTGCCCAATCAAAGGTCCAAAATCCTGTTACCAAACTTCTGATGGTTCCTACCAGACAATCCCACATAATGCCAGGATCAGACACTTCATCTGGGAGCACCTACAGAACGTCAACCACATCTTACACCGTCTATGTCATGCAGGAGCTACCATCTCAGTGAAGAAATGCATCATCACTGCACTGTCTATCATAGTGGTTGGACATAAGGTGTCATTTGAGGGGAGAATTCTGGATGAGGCTAAAGTCCAAAAGATTAAAGACTGGCCATACTGCACAAACATTACTGAAGTGTGCGGATTTTTAGGTCTTTGTTCATATTGCAGGATCTTTATCAAAAACTTTGCTAAACATGCACATCCCCTCATCGAGCTGACCAAGAAAGACATCCCCTTTGAATTCTGCAATGAACACAGAGAAGCTATGGAATATCTATGCCAGGCTATCGTCTCATCTCCTGCACTACATACTATTGACTACAATTCCGAAAGGAAGGTCATTCTAGCAGTTGACACTTCAAATATCACTGTAGGATACCTCCTCATGCAGGAGGGGGAAGATGAAAAATGCTACCCTGTGAGGTTTGGCTCAATAACTCTCAACAACCATGAATGCCATTACAGTCAAGCTAAACTGGAGCTCTTTGGTCTTTTCCACGCTTTACATGACATCAGACTTCACATTTTTGGTGTGTGGAATTTAATTGTTGAGGTTGATGCACAATATATAAAGGGGATGATTAACAATCCCAACTTACAGCCCAACACTACCATCAACTGCTGGATTGCAGGAATTCTTTTATTCAACTTCAAGCTCATACATGTCCCTGCACACAAGCATGCAGCACCAGACAGTCTTTCAAGGAGACTGAAAGCAGAAGAAGATGAGGATGAGGAAGAGGACTATGAGGACTGGATAGATGAGTATGGAGCCTTTGCTGTCAAGCTCTTGAACTGTAGGGAGGCCCAATTTGAGTCCCAGCCTTTCCCTTTGGAAATTCCAAGTACCTTGTCAGACTCACCTTTGGTCTTGTCACTGAGTCTAGGCATCTACTCCTCCAAACAAACCTCACTGAGTGTCTATGAGATGGGTATTCTGTGCTCAGAGAAAGCAATCCACAGAGAGGAGAGATTGAAAGTGGTGAAGGAATTTTTGGAGACAAAGAAGATGCCAGAGGGATTGGAGGAAGGGGAGTCAGAAAGCCTGGTGCGTCTTGCCACTCAGTACTTCATCAAAGGAGGAGAGCTGTGGAGAAAAGACCCTCAAGGATGTCACCAACTAGTAGTCACCCCTCACAAACAGCTTGGGATCCTTCGTCAGGCTCATGATGAGCTAGGACACAAGGGTATCTACTCAACCTGCATGTGTTTGCTGACTTGTTTCTGGTGGCCTATGCTAGAGCAGGACATCTGCTGGTATGTTAAGTTGTGTCACAAGTGCCAAATACACCATTTGGATTGCATACATATTCTGCCAGTCATCACCATCCCTGAGCCCCTGTTCTTTAAAGTATATATGGACACATTCTTAATGCCAAAGTTGAACGGATTTCACTATGTCACCCAAGCTCACTGTTCACTCACTAGTTATCCAGAGTGGGCTATGCTTTGCACAGAAACTGGCAAGACCATTGGAAAATTCATCTTTGAGCAGATCCTGTTCCATTGGGGTGCCATTGTGGAGATTGTCACAGATAATGGGGGACTGTACATTCTCACTCTCAACTGGCTCTCCAGGACCTTTGGTATTCATCACATATGCATTTCTCCTTATAACTCACAGGCTAATGGAGTTGTCAAATGGTGGCATTTTGATGTAAGAGAGGTGATGGTAAAAAGTTGTAGTGGGGAAGCATCAAGGTGGTCAGAAGTAGCCCCTGCAGTATTTTGGGCAGAGAGGGTTACAGTCCACAAGGCAACCAGGTTTTCTCCATTCTATATGGCTCACAGTGTTGAACCCAGACTCCCTTTCAATCTGGTTGAAGCAACATTTTTAGCCCCTTTTGAGGTGGGATTTTACTTGACCACAGACCTCATTGCTCACCATGCTCACCAACTCCAGAAACACCCAGAGGACCTTGCTCACATCCATGATCTGGTCCTAAAATCCTGCTTTGCCTCAGCCAAGGATTTCATTGACCATTTTGCATGTTCTATCAAATACTTTAACTTTGAACCAGGGTCACTTGTCCTCATGCAGAATTCCCATATTGAACTGGAACTTGACTGGAAAACCAAACCACACTACCTAGGGCCTATGATCATCATCAGATGCACTAAAGGTGGCTCATACATACTTGCAGAATTAGATGGCGCTATCTCAAAATTCCACTTCACTGTGTTTCGCCTATACCCCTATTTCCCACAGAATAATGCTCGTATTGAAGTCACCCAGCTGACTGGCACTTCCTCACAAGACCTGGATCATCTTGAAGATGATGCATTCCCAGACCCTATGCTTGCTGGTGTCCCTTTGGACAAGTCAGATGAGTAGCCCATCCTTCTCTCTACCTCCTTTCTTTTCTTCCCCTGTTCTTTCTTTTATCAATACCCACTTCTTCTCTTGTATAAATTCCACACCGCTCATGTGAAAGAGACTAAAAAAAAAAAATTCCACAGACTCTAGTACACTATTTACAGGTTCCAGAGATCGTCCTTCAACCTTCACAGCTCCTCCCATCTAGCCCACACAGTCTTGATCTGATGTGTTACCCACCTTGCCAACATCTCCAGCAGCCAGTAGACCTGCTCCAGCTCAAATTCCTCATCCTTGGCCCTCACCTCAAGCACTCACAGATGCTCAATGATGTTTGCTGTTGACCACTCATGTGGGTATTTGACCTCCAGAATTTCCACAGCTGATGGAGTGTCACTCTGGGCCATCACTTCAATGCCTCCAGGTTCATCCAGTAAACTGGTCACAGTCGCAAAGAATGGTTTGATCTCAACTTGCAGTTCATCAATCAGAAGTGACATGTGAGGATCATCGACTGGGACTGGTGAGGGCTTGGGTGCAGGTCTGGGCATTGGAGTGGCTCCATGGAAAAAGAGACAGGGTGTTGGTGAAGGATCGTGAAGTGAAGGAGCTGGATCTGGCAAAGGCAAGCATGTGGGGGTTGGATCAGGCTGCTGTTTTCAAGCCAGAATTGTCAGAGTAAGCTTCTTGACAGGTTCAGTTGCAGGTTCTGCTGGGACCAGCTTTGAGGTCGTAAACAATTTGACTCATTTGTGGGACAGCCCTGCCTCCTCAATGGTACCAGAGTTCTTTTGCTGAAGGTGGTGTCAACTTGTTCCCTTGTGGAATTTCACCTGTGCAGTACTCACCTTTCTCCCTACACCTTGAGAGCATGAGCACTTGCATTTCGCCTTCCTGCACTGTTTGCAGGATGCCTCTGGCTCCCCAACACATGTGAAGTTTGCCTGGGCACATGTCTCACAGGGCTCATTGTCCCCAGCTGTGTGAGGTCCCTTTGTGGGTGGACCTGGTTTGCTGTCACCCTCATCATTGTTGACATCATCAGCCAGCTCGTCCTCCTCACTGGTGGCCTGCAGAATTTTCGTTGAAGTCAGTGTGCATGCTCAGAGTTGTCAAGGTCATAGGGCACACCTTCTGCTTCCCTTTTCCCTTGCTTGCACTACCAGAGCCCTCCCCTGTCAAGCATGCAGCTCCTCTTGATGGGTTTCCTTTGGTGTCTTCTGGTGCACAGTCTTGGCCCTCACCTCTTGCTGCTTGGCCCCAGGTGCACATGGATGGTGCCTTGGCCAACCTCTCGGCCTCCATCTGTGCTCTCTCCTCTACCCACTCCTGGTAGTCCTCGAAAAGGTCATCAATGTTGAACCTATGCTGCCCTTCTGGCCACTGGAGATCCACTATTGTTATCACCCCAGGGATTGCCTTGTTCTGCCATATCACAGATTCCTCGGTCATGTCATGTAGGTTGGTATCACACACCTTCAGGATAGAAATCTTGTTCTCATCAATGTACTTCCACCACAAGTAGATCCCAGCCTGGGGATTGGTTAGCATGTTGTGTTGCACAGGTCTCTAGCACACTCACCCAGGTCTGGTCCCAGTCCTCCACCCACTTGTATATCACCTCTAAGCTCTCTTCAGGCTGTGGCACTGTGTTGATTAGCACCCTAACATGCCTTAATGCTGCCACCAGCAAGGTGATGGCCTGGTCCCTCATGCTGCAAACCAGTTGCACATTATGGATTGAGTAGGCTTGCATGGCAAAGGTTGGGTATGGATTGGGTAGTGGATGTGGGTGTAGCTGGGGCATGGATGTTTGACAAGCAGTGAGACACCTTCTGAGCACATTTAAATTCTGCAGGGCCATCTCATACACTGCAGAATTTCCCTCTGCACAAGGCAGAATTCCAACCATGTGCCATCATTGTTACATAACATCTGCCAATATTCCACGCTCATCTCTGTCATGTCTCAGTTCAGTCTGACCAAGGACAGTCAGCATTTGAAGTTCCTGGGAGGTGTAGGGAGCCATATACTCCCTGAGGCTGGAACAGGAATCTGTCACTAAATTTCACAGGCCCCTACAACAAACCCATTTTGGAATTTTTCCCGCTTGTGTCCTCATGTTTCCTCCTGACCCCTGTTGCCTTCAGAGTTTCTACCGACCTTCAGCTTGTCACTCAGTCATCAAAACACTGATCTGGAAATTCCACATTTGCACAGAGTCACCAAGAATTCAACAGCTGTGCCACCGCTCAGCCATGTCACCAGTCATCTGTGCCACTTATCTGGTTTCCCCTGTCACCCTAAATTCCACAAGCTGGACTTCATGTCAGTATGCTACACTCTGCTCTCCTGTACCACTCAGCTCCACCTCCCACTGATATGCATACTCTTGTTCTGTCAGAAGATACCCCTTACTGTTGTCCCATTCTTACTCTTGTCTACTACCCACTGGACTATTTCACATGCATCTGTATTTTGCTGATGTCTGATGTCCATTCCTTTATTTTCTGGTCTTTTAGTTTTTCTGCCCCACCTTACTCCAACTTGTACCTACTTCCCTTGTACTATATAATTCTGCCAGGATGTCAGAAATAGACCACCCATCTTTTGGAGTCACTATCTGAGTCATTTGCATGTCTAGGTGTTCAAAGTGTCTGTTGCATACTCTGCATCTACTGTGCCTTCTGCATTTCTGTGTCTTGCCTCCATGTCTCATGAGTCTTGGAAATACTTCTTCATGCCAAGGTCATCACTTGGAATTTCACAAACAAGTCTACTCATACCCAATTCACCTACATCTCTGCAGAATTATATTCTGTGCCCTACATTCAACTCCTCAATTGACTCTACTATCATATTCTACATCTCCTTCCTACTCAGCACCCCTTGGGTCAAGCCTAGGGATTACCCTGCAGCTTCCCCCCCCCCCCTAATTGCACACTACCCAGAGGTAGTGTCCCACATCAGATCCAGAAATTGGTGTGCCATCTCTTACTCAGGCCCAGGAACTCTGTTCTAAGCTGTTGGAAGGCTTTGCATCTTTATATTCAGACCAAGATTCTCACAAACTGGAGAACATTTTCCAGTCATACTTTGTATTATACCTCCTTGGCCACACACATCTGTGGCCCTGTGCTGATTCTCCTGATGTCCCAAAACTGAAGATCAGGGAACTGAAAAATACAGGCATCAAAGGTGCACTAGCCCTTACCTGTGCCACAGTAATGTATTGCATTTTAGCCCTAGACAGTCAGCTAACTTATTCTCTTTAGTTGCACCATACTCTTTCCCTGTTCAAAACTGGCGAACTGCAAATTGATGCTAAGCACATGTCCTTCAGAGAGGTAGCTATCAAGATCCCACTCAAGGTGAACAAGGCAACCAGGAAGGAGTTGTCAGCTGTTTCAGCATTCTCTGAGCAGAATTGTGGCCCCCACACCAGGCAATATGCTATAGCCATTGCTAAGCATGACAATGCTGTGCTCCATAACATCATTATGGGAGCAACTATGCTCATTCCATACAGTATGGATTGTGTGTCAGAGGGAGCTTTCAACACAGGGAGGATGACATCAACGATTTAATTGCCACTCTTTGTAAGTCACATTGTTATTTATGCACACTACTAACAAGTTGTTGATAGGATCCCATGATTTGGACATGCTCTCATTCTCTCCCCCCTTCTGCCCTGAGTTGCTTGTTGCCAACTACAATCATTGAATTAATTGTGTCTTTTTTTGTGCTTACTTGAGTCACCCTCATTTTGGATTGTCATAGGCCTATGCTCATTTAATGTTTCAGCACCACACTGCTTTATCATGAATGCATTGCATTTTATGTGAGCTGAACAAAAGTGAAAATAGTGAGAATAAGTGCTAAGAAAGTTGCAGTCGACAACAAGTCAGATAGTAGTAATAGTGGGAAAATAGCATAAATAATCAAAAAATAGTATGAAAAATAGTGTGGATAGTAAATGAACCTACTAAAAAGACTATTATTTCTTTTCAGACTATTTTGGTGTGAATAGGACATAACTAGTATGAATAGTATGCAAAATAGTAATGAGTGAATTTGCTAATGTATGACATCTACCACCCAACAAAAAACCTACAGAAACAAGTAGTTATGTGTTACCTTCATAAACAGCATCACCTCATAAAACAAACAGTCACATAAACTTCCCTTCCACCCTGCTTAAACATTTCTCTAGTGTAGCATCTGCATTTTAGTAATAATGTGAGTCACATGCAGAAGTGCCCTGCGTCCAAGAGCGACCGGAGGGCTATTGTATGATGTCATGAATTTATGTGTGCCCTTGAGTCGGTCAGCTGGTATAAATACGCCAACGCGTGTGGTACTTCTAACGCCTCGCCATGTCTTCGACGGAGCCCGAGAGCGCTAGCAGCGTAGCACCCTGGATCCAGTCACACCTGACTGCCTTGTTCCAGCCTACTGGCGCTGCAGAGAACGTGAAAGCAGAACCCTCTTTCGATCGAATCTTCTCTCCCGATTGTGACGTTAGGAAAAATCACCAACCTCAGGATTTCCAGACATTTAAGGGGGAATTCGCGTCTCAGGCAGCGGGGAGCCTGGGAGTTGACGTGAAATGGGAGCAGATCACCTCAATGAACGACGACAAGCCGGACAATGTGAGTGTATTGTCTGGGCCCACAGGACGTCAGTTAACCCGCCGGGTGCATAAACAGCCAACTTTCGTTGCTGGTGCGTTTGTCGTCACCCGTGTCATGCCGTTCCGTATACGCGCCTCTCTGGCGCAGAGGGTAGTCTCCGTGCACTTCAGTGCAAAGTAAGCCCTTCCTTCTCCCCCCTGCGCCAGAGGCAGGGCTTTCATTAGCGCAACCTGAATTATATTGTCATTACCTTTTTTTCGTCAGAGTTGAACCTCAGGGAGATGACATCAACCATGGCAGACGTATCACTAGTTTCTATTACACGGTAGTGGATAGGACGCCCCCTATCCACTTTGCAACACCTCATGGAGCCAAGGTGGAGAAGCAAGGTTAGATTACAATCCGTGGGATGTATTACGAGTATCAGAAGGAGTGTAATAGTGGACTCTCATTTCCGAATCGCCATCACTGTACTATCAAGCTCAGAAACTACTATCTTGTCGGACTTCCGATCCACCGCTTCGCAAACATGCTGGTCAATCTTGCAGTTCTTCGTGAGACACGACATTTCGGCCTCTTCGGGGTTCCACTGAGAAGGACCGTGGGTTTCCTTGTGCAGGGGCGATGCGATAAGATTTTAAAGGACGTGTGTTGCGGTGTCCAGTTAACAAATGGATGATAGACGGCGGAGCCACCATCCATAACAGGGTCAACACGACAGTAGGGCGCAACTGATAAGAGTGCCGTAGCTTTGGTTCAGGTCTGTAGCTTTGATGAAGTAGCGGTGTACCTACAGGGTCTTCCAAAGGCAACGTTCGGTCGACGAGGGTAGGATCGTCGAGTCGCCGGGTGGTACTCACCCCATAACATTGATTGTATATGCCGCGGTTCCAAAATGGACGCCAACTGCCTTTAGCTCCAGAGAGACGGATTATTCGAGAACTTCGGGGTCAAACCAAGGGAATAAGCACCATGCACAAGTCTCATGATGTTGGCGGCGTGACGTATGAACCACTATTGGTGCAGCGCTCGCAATCGACGCCATAATTCTGGAGAGGAGTGACAGGGTTACTTGCCGGTTGCCTGAGGTTTTGACCACGGACGCACCACTTCGTACCACTTGCAAATCTCTCTGTAGATGGCAGAGAATCCTCCGAAGAATTAGAGAAATACCTGTCGGATCGGGTCATAACACGACACCCTGACAAAAAAACAAACGGGATTATTCATTGCTAGGCGCAATGGCGTGCAGTTGACATGGCCCTAAGATATTCTCTCCTCGCCCGGTTGATCAGATCTGACTTCCACCTCTCCACTAGCGAGAAGACGAAACCTCTGGTTACCATGCAACAAATTGATCTTTGGAAGTGACAAACTAATTCGCTGGTGGACTCCGAGCCAGTTTGCCATACGATTCTTGCAACCAACATGAGTCATTGGCGTATCTCGGAAAGTAAAAACCTGGGTCACAAAAAGCATTGCTTTTCACGTCGAAGCTGCTGCTTGCATGATTCCGGTGACCTTAGTTATCCAGCCTTTTGCGTGGTGCTCAGAGACTGTACAGATGTAGCACCTCGCCTGAAACTATAGGCGTGCATGTGTCAAAAGAACAGACTGCTTAATTATGCTAGGGTGGTTCACCAAGTTGCCAAAGCACCTTCATTCGGCCAAAATATTGGCGTCAGCAAACGACAGATTTGACCTCGTTGCCCATTTGTGTTCTTTGATGACACCGTAGGGAAAGCGACGGGCAGTGGTGATGAATTCATTGGTAGCCTCATGAAGGTTAGTTGATAGGGTTATTATGTCCAGGCGGTGTTGCCTTTTTTATCTGATGGCCACCGCGCTGAACCACAAAATTTCTTCGAACCAGTAGTAAGCCCAGGAAAGATGAGCCAGGGGTTTGACCCAAAGAAACACGTTGCGTTGAATCCAGAGCGGGTGTCGTATACGTCGAGCACGGATTATCCTGGCCATTTCGCAGACGAAGACCACTCCTGGAATCCCGCAGAATTCAAGAAGGTTCGTCCCCTTTACCAACCCGTTGCTACACGTTCGAATTTTGATGTGAGACAAGGATAGAGACTCGCCGTAAGAGTGGAACGGATATCGAATCGGTCGATAGAATTCGATCTCGTTGGTGTCGATGCGTCTATTGCAAATGCGTTGCGGCGGATACTAATAGCTGAAGTGTGTGTTCCTTCGCATCTTGAGCGAGTGAGGCAAGCTGACTCGAATCGAGTAGGTTCCAACAATCTGTATAGAGCGGGTGTATGTACATAACAACACTTCCATCATTGTGGATGAAGTCCTCGCGCACCGACTGGGCTTAATCCCTCTCCGTGTTAACCCAGCGTTCATGGACTGTGTGTACCGTCATTAACTTTCCATTCTTCATCCTCGCACGTTTTTAACTGGACTCTGACAGATCCAGACGGACAACCAACCGATCGTAACACCATCGTTTTCAAGCTCTGCGCCAAATGCGAGCGCCGACGCAACGCTCCGAAAGATGCAAAAGACCCCGCACAACTCTACATCAACCATGAGGTACTTTCTTCTCAACTGGAGTGGGTTCCACAAGGCGAGCAGTCTATTGTAATGGCAGCCAACCCACCGGCACCCACCAACCCCAACATCGTGCTCGTAAAACTGCGTCCAGGGCAGGAGATTGAAATTGAACTACATGCTGTTAAGGGTGTCGGGAAGGACCATGCTAAGTTTTCGCCTGTCGGTGCGTCGACTCTTTGATACTCCACGACGTCTCGTTTGAGAGGTGTGTATGGACTAACACTCTGATGGTGATACGCAGCGACGGCGTCGTATCGTCTCCTCCCAAAAGTGATCCTGAAGAAAGAAATCCCTCCGCACCTGGCGGATAAGTTCCAAAATTGTTTCACCAAGGATGTAATCAAAGTGGACCCACGCACTAAGCGAGTCAGCGTGGACGAAAGCCAAGCGAGACGAGAAACTATGAGCAGAGAGGTGTATAGACATCCCGAATTCGAGGGGTGTGTACAGCTCGCACGGGTTAGGGATCACTTTCTTTGTAAGTCTTTACAGTCGGGCATGGTCATCTTATGTCTTTCCTTCTGATGTGTATTTATTACTGTAGTCAATATTGAATCCGAGGGATTCTATCCACCCGAGCGACTCCTCCCGGAGGCGATTAAAGTAATGCGGTCGAAAATTCGGACCCTTCGAGAGGCGGCACAAGGTCTCCTGCAGGATATCGGCGTTGTCGAGGATGTAGAAATGGCTAGTTAGATATGAGAGTGTCGTATTTTATGTGGTATTATCCCTCAGTGGGCCCGGTGAATTGTTTAATTACCGTGCCTAAGCTCATTTGGCAACGACTCGCAGACAAGCAGTGACGGTCGGGCGTATTTGACACTGAAGAGACTCCCTGTGCTGATCGAGGCTGCAGGTTACTGACATCAACAGTTAGAAGGTTTTCAATCTCCAGGCACCACTACCTGAGCAACATCAGCCCTTCAAAATGCCGCGTATCCGCAAAAGTACGCGCTCTAGCATCCAGCGAGTTTTCCGTGCCACTAACATACCCGGCGTCAACCACCCACAGAGACCTCGAAGCGCATCGGCACACACCGGAGGGAGAGAATCAAGCACAAGGTCAATGAGCACCGTAAAAAAGCGAAGAAGCAGGCGAAGAAAGATAAGGTTGCAGGGAAGGGTGAGTTTTTCGTCTGTTTTCATCCCATGCGTGTTATGTCGTTATCCTTTCTCCCGTTCGCCGAATTGTTCCGCGTCTTGGTTCACTGGTCTGGAATCCTTCATCCCGGCTTATGGTGCTAATTCATACGTGCCCCCGTCACCAGTACAAAAGAAGTCGAAAAAGGATCCCGGTATTCCAAACGCGTTTCCCTACAAGGACGAAATCCTAGCAGAAATCGAGCAACAACGTCGCGAAGTACGTGTCTCTCTCTCTTAATTCCTGCCTGAATATGCGGCTGATATCTCATTTGCACGCTTTCCTCTGAATGATTCAATAGGCAGCAATTGAAAAGCAACGCCGAAAGGCCGAGAAACGAGCCGCCAAGGCAGCAGCAAAAAATGTGGACGAGACGCAATCTCAGGTATCCGAACAAGCTGAAGGAGAAGTGGAAGAAAATATCGAGAAAGCGGAGAATGACGGATGCGGATTCGACGGGGTAACATCCATCAAAAAGCAACCTATACCCACTCCCCTCCCTAAAAAATCCAACGACGAGGTGAAAGCGCCTAATGTATCTGTCTATCCCGGTCCCTCGACGCTGAGGGACGTGTTGGACAAGGCAGATGT